CATGGGCCGAAGTGGAACAGAGGGATGGACATGTAAAGTAATCCAATAAAAGTCACCCCCTGAACTTGTGTTGGAACTGGCAAGAAAAAGGGGCTTTCTGCTGGCATTATTGACAATAAGGACAAAATAAGCCTACAGCTTGTGGAAGCCACCACACGGACACTGCCAATAAAGAGAGGAGAACACAGCTGAGGAATGCAGTGAGAGAGATACCAAATCTTGGTCACACCATGGGAGCACCTGGATCTAGCCAGACCTTTGAACTTTTGAGTCATGGGGATAAAGCCTGCTTCCGCCAGATTGAGCTTGGTCTCCTTCACTGGCAACAAAAGGATTCCTAATTAAAAGGAGAAAAGGGATCCGTGTATGAGTGTGACCAAATTCTAGACAGTCCTGGAGAAGGGCTCTTCCTTTCACAGGGCTGGTGGGACAGTAGTGGGAGAGACTAACATCAGATACATCGTGCAGGTAAAGCTAAGAGAAAATCCTGAGTTAAGCCCCACGGCGCCAATCAGGACACAAAGGGCAGACTAGGAACACAGATGTTTTATCACTCAGCTTTGCAGCAGGTGTGAAAGTGCCAATTCAGCTTTAAAAGAGCATAAATACACGTAAGGTAGAGGTTGTGATCAGAGCCAACCCTCCCGTATGTGACAGGAGATGCTAGATAAGTGAAGTCCCCAGCTCCGTGGTCTCCAAAGTGTGGGGTGAGGGGCTGGAAGGGGTGGCCGTGCACTAGATGATCCATTAGGGAGAAGAAAATATCGGAACTTAGAGTTATCTTAACTAAAGTCTATTTTAAGCATTACTAGTAATTTAGATGTGGCTTGACCCTGGAACTTTCACTCAGTCTGTACTGAGAATGGCTCAACGGGTCTGTTATCAGTCAAGCCGGGAAACCCAAGAGGAGAGGAGAGTTCCACAGTATGAAAGGGTTCATCAAGGCATCATCGTCTTCTCATCCTCAGTCTTCCAGTAAACTACAATACCGCTTCTTTTTTTCTATTTTTAATTGTCTTTTGAGATACAGTTGACATATAACATTGTATTAGTTTTAGGTATACAACGTAATGATTTGGTACACCACAGTAAGTCTAGATGTCATCCATCATCACCTCACACAGTTACTTTTATTTTTTTCTCGTGATGAGCACTCTTAAGCTCTACGCCCTTAGCTACCTTGTCCAATATGGTAGCCATTACTTGCTTGTGGGTACTGAGCACATGATATGAGGCTGGTGCAAATTGAGCTGTGCTGTAACTGAAAATATACTCAGGACTTTGAACATTTAGTATGAAAAAAGAAATGTAGAATATCTCATTAATATTTTTTAATGTTGATTACCTGTCAGAAGGATAATATCTGGGATATATTAGGTTAAATAAAATATTGTATTAAGATTAACTTCATCTTTCGTTTTACTTTTTCTTTTTTTATTGAAGTAAAGTTGATTTACAATCTGCCAGTCTCTGCCGTACAGCAACGTGACTCAGTTATATATATTGAATACATTTAAAAAATATATTTATTTATTTAGGCTGTGCCAGTCTTAGTTGCAACACACAAGATCTTCGTTGCGGCATGCAGGATCTTTTTAATTGCTGCATGTGAGATCTTTAGTTGCAGCATGCAAACTCTTAGTTGCGGCATGCATGTGGGATCTAGTTCTCTGACCAGGAATCGAACCTGGGTCCCCTGCATTGGGAGCGTGGAGTCTTACCCACTGGACCACTAGGGAAGTCCTACAATCTTTTTTTAAATATTCTTTTCCATTATGGTTTATCTCAGGAGATTTGATATAGTTCCCTGTGCTATACTGTAGGACCTTGTTTATCCATTTTTTGTTTTACTTTTTTAATGTAACCCATAGGAAACTCAGAATTACACATGTGGCAGGCATTATGATCCTGTTGGAGTAGAGGGCTTGAGACTGAAGGTGAGAAGACCAAGGAGGAGCCTTTGGAAACACCCAGGAGAAATCAGGAGAGGATGAGACATCCCCGGGCAGTGGGATGGGGACAGAGAATAAGGGGGAGAAACTCAGGCTTCTGCTGTAGGATGTCGTGTAGTGTTGTAGTTGTATTGTTGTAGGATTAAAAGTATGGACTCTGGGACCAGATAGCCTGGTTCCAAACCTGACTCTGACACTTGCCAGCTGTGTGACCTCGGGCAAGTCACTTACCCTGTCTGTTGTGCTTCAGTGTCCTCAATAGGACAGTGTGGGTAGTAGCAGTACTCGCTTCATAAACTTGCTGTGAGGATTTAATGAGTTCGTTCACTGATTCTCACCCTTGACT